AAAGGTGCTATATATATGTGTGTATATATATGTACAATACAATATACCCAATATTTGTTGGGTTAGGCCTAATCCTTTTATGTGGAGAAATAACTCAATATTTGTTGAACTAAACCTACTTGAATTATGTTTTTGTGGCCCTTTGAGACACATAAAAATGGGGTTGGATTTGAGAGTGTCAAGTGGAAAGCACATGAGGTGGGGTTGACCAAAGGGGGAAAGAAAACATGGGAAATTTTTGTTTGCCTATTTGATTTGCAAGGTTCATCATTAGATTGAGTTGAAATTTTATCTGCATGTTCATGAAACATCAATATATATTCTAAACAGTCAGCTTTTTATTTGGACTTTTGTAGCTTCTACTCTTATGTCTAGAATAGCAACTTATTTTAGTGTTTTGTATCTCTTGTAATCCTATTTTCTATCACTTAGTTATGAAAACCAAAAAAAGATGAAAAATTTGGCAAGGAATAACCATGAACACTAGAAAAGGTGGAAGCTTTAACGAATGGCTAGAAAAAATAGCAAAAGAAGGTGAAAACAGGTTGAGAATGCTTGGGCCACCAAATGATATTCATGATTTTGTTGCCTAAAATAGCTAGAAAAGGTTTTTGAGCACCTACATCACTTGTGCCAAAGAAAAAGGAAGAACTTGTAAGGGCAAGAGTTAGAGGTGTCTTTAGCATTCGCCCTTTGATGCTTAAGTCAAGCAAGGTCTTATGAAGATATAGAAGAAGGAAGAAGAAGTCTAGGAGAGAAGATGGACTCAAAAGGAATTACCTTTAATGGAGTGAGGAAGCCTTCTTATGGTTACTTTCTAGGTTTATCACAGAATGGGTGGACTTACCAAATTCCATATGTGGTGGGTTCCTTACCTACTAAAATAGTACAGGTGGTAGGTGTGGCTGTTGTTCGAATTGAACACATGGTCATAAGACAAAGAGGGTTGAAGCCAACATCCTTTGACATTCTACAACTAGCATAGGTAATGGTCTGCACTCATACTACTTAACATTGTGTGGACCCCTTTATCCTTTGTGTTTTGTCTTTTACTTAGCCTTGGTAACTAAGCTAGTGTTGTACCTTTACTTGGAGTTGCTTACCAATTATGTAAGTTCTGCTTGAAATAACTCATCAAATAATGACCTAGGAGCCTAGCAACTATGCAGCCCTACCAAGTATTCTGTGAGAGCATTCTCTAGATTAAATCGAGATAGCCACCTTACCTATTACCTACTTTAACTATTCCAAGCAGGATATAATCTAGTAAGAAGCCACCACATGTATGGTAGGTATTTAGTTAGTATTAATTATTATATCAAGCAAATCTATGAAATGCATAAAAAAACATATTTAATTGTGCTAGGGAAACAAACGCAAATAATCACCTTTTATATGATAAATTAACTTCCTGTAATAGAAACTCGTGAAGGAAGTGTATGGTCAAAAAAAAAGTATGAAGTTTCTTTGGATTAAATATGCAATTGAGAAATGAAGAATGGACCCAGCACCCATAACAAAAAATAATCTAGAGGCAGTAAATTTTATCACCATTTTAATTAGTCACATGTTAAGGTGTTTTCGATTTTATCTCTCTGTTGCTTCCTCGTAGTTTCCACCACCTAGTAATTGATGATCACGTAAAAAAGGCATCACAAAAATGAAAAATTGTTGGCAACTAATTGTTTCACAATTAGCTCTAGCAAATAGATACTGAAAGGAGACAATATACCATCCAAGAGGAGTTTAATCAATCCCATATCTCATCTCCAACTTTGCATTGGTCAAGAAATCTACACAAATCAAGGCCAATTAGTGACCCTATTCCCGTTTACTGATATTATATTATTACATCACCCAAATTACATAACTAACCATCGGCATCATAATTAGATGGTTGCACGCCTTGCATTTTTTGTTTTTTTTTAAATGACTGATCTTTCTTTGTAAGATCGCAAAAGCCAATGGTAACACTATCATTTTAGGAAAGAAGACAAACCATGCACACCGCTTTGTGGCTGGACCATTTGCGGGAGCATTCGAAAAGGAAAACGCACTCATTCCATACCTTCTCGTATCCGACATTGGTGGCATGTCGGCATTCCATATCTGGCAAAGTCTCAACCTTATTTGGGTGTTTATCGACGGCTTCTGATCAATGTTTTTCTGTTGTAAATCCATTTTGACGCTGCAAAACAAAAGAATTAATAATGAACTATAGCTGGGAAACTATCCAATAAGTAGTTAATGAAAACCACCCACCCATCGTTACAGTTTAATTTCTAAAAACTAAGTACAAATACCAGTAACTCATAAGAAACCACCCACAAAAACCGAACAGTTGAAGATGAATCCCTACTAAATTGAAACAGGTGGACTGTTTGAGGAGGAACGGGCATGGGAAGTGGGTATTTACAGGGAATTAGATTGGAAATTAAGTATTTCGGCTCACTCATTTGGGTTTTAGGAAACGGGATTTGAGTGGTCTACTTAGTTTGGACTTTAGAAGATACGAGGATTGGGTATTTTAAGAGTGAGATTATGATTGCCAATAATAATATTGTGACTATTAAATAGTAAAATATTATTTTTTAAAATATTAACTTTATTTAATTTAAGTAATAAAAATAATTATTAATTAATAATTGTTATAATAATTAATATTTATTCATTAATAAATTAAAATTAATTAATTAATTAATATTTTTATATATTGTTATAAAAAATAAAAAATTTTGGTAGCCTGATGGTAATAAATTTCCAATTTAGTAGGGATTTATTTGTAGGCGTTCGGGTCGGGTTTGGATGGGCCCAATGAGGAATTGAAACGATGGATCCTGTTCGGTTGTCTGACTTGTCATCCAGGATTGGGCTTCTGGGTTTGAAAATTTTGAGCTAAAAACATCAAAGTCCGCAGATTTGGATTTGCGTTTGGTTTAACTTTGAGTCCAATCCAATCAACCTGAAACTTTGAATTTTTGTAAATTTAGTCCTCCTTTTCCTTATGTTGTGCAATTGAGTCCTCCTTGTCTTTCCTCCTCTTATTTCTTCACTAGATTTTAATTTCTTGCAAACAAGTCCTGCAAAACAAATAAAAGCAAATTAACATAAAAATTCATTTAAAGGCAACTTTATCAATTTTTTCTCTTTTTTTATTATTTTTATATTTTACATTATTTTTAACCTTTTTGATTTTTTATTATTTTTATGCTTTTAATTTTTATATTTTATATTTTTGGTATGAATAAAATAAAGATAGGTGAAAAAAGAGGTTATAACCCTAATATCTAACTTCTTAGCACTAATATGGTTGATATTTCAATAGATATAGTACATACATTACAATATACCAATTTCAAGCCAAAACCTAGTATATCGGTTGGTCCAAAACAAAATATAATGAAAATTTTCTAGGCAATTTTTGGTTTAGTTTGGTTTTAATTTCTCAACAATTTTGGGTTGGATCCAGTGTAGTTACAAAATTTACAAAATCAAATAATGTATATTGATTTGCAAAATAATAAATACAAATTACAATGAATTTAAAAGAATTGGGAAATGATCTCTAGTTTAAGGTATTGCAATGCACATGCTCAAATTTTAAGTAGTAGCACATTATGGAATAGCACAATTCTTTGATTAATAGCTGGATTTAAAAGTAAAAGGGTAAGGGCTAGAGTTTGATCTTGTTTTTCAAAGAATTTGAGATTTGTTTTTAAAACTTTCATTCTTAGTAGGGACTTGGAACTTATTCTTAGCAGGGAGTAAAAACTTCCCTTAATTAGGACTAGAAACTTTGAGAATCATCCGAGGGATTGAATCTTGCTATTCCTTTCCTTTTCTCCTTTTCTCTTTTTTTTCCCTCTTTCATCAAATGAACGGCCTATTTATAGCCAAAGAAAGCTTTCCAAATGACCTTAAATACTCTTCACTTTAAGGATAATTTAATTATTTCATAAATAAATTTATTTTAATTAAAGAAAAAATATCTCTTTAAAGATTTATCTCCCCAAATACCAAGATTTTATTGGAGTAAAAATATTTTAATTTTAACAAAATTTTGTCTACGTCTAGCTTCTACAACCTAGAATTTTTTTTCTTTTTTGTCTAGGTTTTGAGATGAAGAAATGTTTTTCCCAATCATTACATCTAAACTTTGTTTGGATTACTCAATTTCAATGAAATGCCTCAATCTAGAAAATTTCCCTATAATCCTCACCATGCTTCTGTGGTCCTATCTAGTAATATAATCTAATTCAAAATAGATTATTGTTTCAATCAAAATTAGTTGAGATTTTCTTTGTCCTCTATCTTTTTCTTCCCTCTCCTCCATCCCCCTTTTCCTTCCTTGTTTGTTCCATTGTTTCTTCTCCTCCTAGATCCATTTTAAGAAGCCAAATCAGAATAAATGATTATTATTGTCTTTTTAATAATATGAGAATTAAAAATTATCAAATCACCACTAATTATTTAAATTTAAATAGTGTGAATTCGTGATAAATTTACGTGACACCCAGGCAATTATGTTGACGGAAGAATCAAGTTGGTAATGGAAAATTAAATTTTAAAGATGGTTTTCGCATGTTTTTAAGTTTAGAGACTAATTTAGCCCAAAATTCAAAGTCCAGGGACCAAAATTAGTGATTTAACCCAGATCAGACGAATGTTCCGACATTCCCACCCTGGCTGCCCCGTGATTCCTGCCTGCGGAAATTCAGCAAAACGAAATCTGCACCATTTTTATGGGTCCCACTTGTACCCTCATTGTCCGCACCGATGTGACCCGACTCCCTCTTCCAGTCTTCCTTTCACAAAACGAGTATTTTGTTGATTACGCGGCAGCTTTAACCGTCGATATCGTAAAATCACGCGAAACTGTAAATCAACGGCCCCTATCTCCTTATTAAAATAAATTAAATGCAAAAAATAAGAAAAGAACCCAAATCTCTTCCTATTTCAATGTGTATAAAAACTCGAAGGGAAAAAAAGACACCTTCCAGAGAAAGGAAAAAATAAAAAATAGAGACCTGGTTTTTTTTCGAAAAAAAAAATTAGGCCTTTTTTTTCAAAAAAGAAAACCAGGTCTTGTAATAATTATATCGCATTCTTAATTTGATTCTTCTTCATCTCTTGCAAAATCTTGGAAACTATTCTTTGTTGGAGAATTCTCTGTCGAGAAGCTTCGTCAAGCTTCAACAATGAACGACCTTTTCTCGGTAACAAAAGAATGATTTTGATTTCTCCGTTTATGTTTCGTTTTTTTGGTTTTGGATTTTGTTGCATTGTGTTGTCCGGATCTGAGGTTTGGTTAGGATATATGCGTTTGGTTTTGTCGGATAATCGTGAGTTACGAAGAAAGTTGAGATTCTGATTGTTTGTTTAGCTCGTGTTTTTTTTATTTCTGAAATTGAATGGGGAGGAAAAATCAGGGTGAATTGAAGAAATTGAATGACCAATAGCATTGTTTGGATCTCGAGAAAATTGAAACATGTTAAAAAGAAAAATCACTGAGCTATACGAGAAGAAATTTGGCTCTTTCTTTTTTATAAATTAATTGCATAACTGGAATGCTCGAATGTATATATTTTTCTAACCTTTTTCTTATTTATTGAGCATTGTTGATTTTTTTGTTTATTAATATAAGATGGAAGTACTTACTTAAATTTTGTTTCCTAATTTTTGTGGGGCCAATATCTGTTTCTATGTCTTTATTGGTTGGATCAATGATTGTAGATATGGAAAAAGTTTATGCACTTGAATTTGAATTTCATATTCTGGTTGATTTCATGGATCTATCTAGTATGTAGTTTTCTGAAGAGATTCTTAGGTTTTTAGAAGTTCCTTATTGCTGTCAGCCAGTACTCGTGTACTTTCAAAATGAATTGGGAAGAAGTGGGAGAAAGGGCAAAACCCTCAAATCTGCCTCTCAAACAGGAGGACAAGAACAGATCTGCCCTTCAAAAAAAAAAAAAAAAAAGACAAATTGCCTCTCCAAAATATTGATTAAGACAAATCACCCATTATATAACTTAACATGTGATGTCATTGGACGCCAAAAATTTGTTTGCCACCTAAGTTTTTTTTAACGGAAAGTTGATGTGTGATGATGTCACATATTAAATAATGGGTGAATGGAAAGCTGATGTGTGATGATGTCATACATTAAATAATGGGTGAACGGAAAGCTGATGTGTGATGATGTGACACATTAAATAATGGATGATTTGTCTTGATCGATAATTTAAAAGAGCAACTTATCCTTGCATTTTTTTGAGGGGTGGATCTATCTTGCCTTTTTATTTGAGGGGCAAATTTGGGGGTTTTGCTAGGATCAAAAGTTGAGTCCTTGGTGGTTCCAGTTTCTAGTTCTCCGTTGGATAAATTAAATGGAAGAAGAAGTGAATGATGACATGTGGTACAGTGGATTTTAAAATCCTAAAGTCAGGTTAATTGAAAAACAACCTCAGCGTCCAGATAAAATTCTTTGTGTGGGGAATATATAAATTTTGTAAGAGGATTATCAAACTAAAGATTTTTAGTTTTTTAGTTGGCATATAACAATGATTTCATATTCTATTTGCTTCTATGATAAAATGTTAATGGAGATTTGGAGGTCAAAGTTGGTCTTGCTTTGCAACGAACAGTTTTAATTATTTGGTTTCTAATTGAGCACAAGGCAAAAGCTGGTTATTCTGAATTGTAATGTTAGTTTGTTTAATGAATATTTGAGGAAGGTTCAGAGATTTAGGTTTGGAATGGCAGGTGAAATGAAGTTATCTCAGTTTTGTCATGAGCTTGTTTGAATATGTTATCTTGATTAAATATATCCATATCACCTTGGCATCCAGTTTTGAGGGTCATTTTGCAGCCTCTGCCTTCTATATGTGTGCCAAGGGCACAGCCTAGTTAAAGACAGTTTGGTTGGAGGTAACAGGCATTAATCTGTCAATGGCTGAGGTTTCAAGAATATTGTAGGGTCCTATCCTTAAGATTCAGATAGGAAAAGAGTTTTTACTGTGCAGTCAGGCCTTTTATTTGGAGGGTTTTTTCAAAGAGTAATTGTTTCTGGGGAAATAGGTTGGTTGCCACCAGCCATTTGTTAGGAGTTGAGAGGTGTTTGGTTTTTTAAATTTTAATTATTATTTGATGTATAAAGTAACACTCTTTTGATTACAATTCATGTTGGTTAGTTATGGCAAAATCAATTTCATGCCTATTGTTTGATGCCAAGTGCCTAGGCTACTGTTTCTTCAAATTCACTGTGGATTGCTAACTTGATGTGTTTTGCAGGACTCGTTTGGGAGGCAACCCTCCAGAGGTGGAGATGTTGAGTTAGAAGCACAAAATTCAGGGGACCTGTCCCTTCAAGATTTCTTTAAAAAGGTGCTCCACATCTAATTATATACCCATTCACCAACCATTAAACTCTTTTTGTTTATGCATGTATGAACTTTGAATATATGGTTATGTTAATCCAACTTAAATTGTCATCTCTCTCCTTTGCCAGGTTCAAGATATCGATAAACAATACGAGAAGCTGAATAAGCTACTCAGAAAGCTCCAGGTGTGGTCCCTGTTGAATTCACTTTCTTCTCTAGTCATTTTGTTGGTTACTGTCCTGACCATGGTTTACCATGCTCTAAATTCTGGAAAATGTTGAAAATTATTCCTTGTCAAGACCATTTAAAAGCTTGATAGTCTTATATTTTATTTCCATCAAGTGACATTAAACTATTTAGATGAATAAAACTACGTTTGAAAGGACAGATGGGGATATAGTAGAATTCTATTAAATAATTTTCTGGTTATGCAATATGAGATGATGAAGGGAACAGGGAACTTTCTTTGTTGTGAATTGAATTTCACTTTTTAGAACTATTTTTGTACGCTTCTATATTTGTTCTGTATGCATCCATCCCAGATCAATCCCATGCTGGGAATGTAACCTGCACTTCCTTAAGTAGTCTTACTTAACATATGAATAACAGATTTATTGGAAAGTGGATTCACTTTGGAAACAATATCTTCAGTCACTTGAATGATTAAATAAGTTATTCATCTCTTACATTTTCTTTCAACCCTTGTATGCAGGATGCACATGAGGAGTCAAAGGCAGTGACAAAGGCTCCTGCCATGAAAAGTACGCAGTAACTTTTTGCAAGTTCTCAGTCTATACACTTTCTTGTTAGGAATTTTTTTTTTCCTTTTTTGGTGACTTAAATATATGAAAAAAATGCAGAAATAGCAAAATATGGTCCGAAGTTCATGATCACTAATCACTGTATCACCTGTGTTGTTAAATGTCCAGAGGAAACTTAGGCTTTGACACACAGTGGTTAAAATCATTGAGCTTGTTCAAAGTTGAATTCTCAAAAATAAGTTATTATTATTGTTTTTGTTGTTGTTATTATTATTATGGAATATGCCTCAAAAAAATATGATATAATGGAATTTATTTACAATAATTTGAAAGTTTAGGATAGATAGTTCTCACAATCTCTATATGGAAAAGGCCTAAAGGATCTTAACTTAGCCTAATGTATCTCTGGTTTGGTTATAAGTTTTACCATCCAAATTTCTCATTGAATTAAAATTTGGTTGGCCTACCATTTCCCCCGTTTGTATCACCATTATGTTGAGAATCAACTGCATTCCCTATATCACTTCATGTAATTAGAACTTTGATCAGTTATTAAGAACTCAATACTTTACAATCTATCCCATTGGTTTGTGAAGATATCAAGCAGCGGATGGAGAAAGATGTTGATGAAGTTGGAAAAATTTCCCGCTTTATAAAGGCAAAAATTGAAGAATTGGATAGAGAGGTAAGCTATTTTCTGCAGTTTCTTGGGAAATTTGCAGTTTGGACAGATTTCTGATGTAAATTTTTTTGGTCCAGAATTTAGCCAATAGGCAGAAGCCTGGTTGTGGAAAAGGAACAGGTGTAGACCGGTCAAGGACAGCAACAACTCTGTAAGTTTTTTTTCATTTTAATTGCTTTGCCTTCCGTTTTAATCTCTGAAACATGCACTTGGGAGATAAACATAATCTGAATCTGAAGCACGCATGGCAGATGCCAATTATACTTTTGAGATAATTTCAGTGAAAGGGTTTATATTCTGATATTAATTTGTTTATTTATTTATTTTAAAATGAAAAGTTTGGAGTGGTAGCTTTGACCTTTTAGGCTGATACCTACAACTGATTACTAAATGGTTGATTGATCTGTTTCTTCTCTCTACCATAATAAATAAACTAGAAATTCAAAGAAAAACTTAATTTTTTTTCTTGCAGCGCCTTGAAAAAGAAGTTCAAAGACAAAATGGCTGAGTTTCAGGTAAGTCTACATTAATTTTTTTTGGGTTGAAATTTGAAGTTCCTGTACTCATTAAGTTCTATTTTATTTTCTGTTTCATATCATATGTATATGTAAATTTTGTAGACTCTTAGAGAAACCATCCATCAAGAGTATCGGGACGTTGTTGAGAGACGCGTTTTTACAGGTTCAGACCCTAACATGTTACTAATCAATGTTATATATAGCATGTTACATTGCTAATCTTTTCTTTTACCTGGCTTTTGTGACTGTCAGTAACGGGTCAAAGAGCTGATGAAGAGGTATGGTTTGTTGCATTCTTGAAGTTGTAATTAATTATACATTCTATTTAGCTCATATCTATTATTCAATGATGTACAGACAATTGAAAGATTGATTGAGACTGGAGATGGTGAACAAATATTCCAGAGAGCAATTCAGGAACAAGGAAGAGGCCAGGTCTCTCTAGACTCATGCTTTTAGTTCTTGTAGAAGTTTTGTGGATTGATAGAAGATATGATATTTAAAGTTTAAGAAATAGCTTTTCATTTGAAAATTTTGAGGTGTGAACTATTATTAAATACTGCATGCTACCAATGCAAATAATAAATGGTAGGAAAAAAAAAAAAAAAAAAAAAAAAAAAAAAAAAAAAGACAGATGAAGGATAGCCTCTGCTCAACCCCTAAAGCTGCTGTTGCCATTGGCCTCATTGGATTCTAATAGGGTTGTTATTCACTTGAAGATGAGTGATTAAAATTTACTACAACTAAATTGGTTTTTTTTTTTTTTTTTTGGCAGATAATGGACACCGTTTCTGAAATTCAGGAACGCCATGATGCAGTTAGAGATTTGGAGAAGAAGCTTCTCGACTTACAGCAGGTACTTAATTTGTTTGCTACAGAGATAGTCGCCAATTTATCAAATGTTGAAAATAAATATTTTGAGAAATTCTTAGAAAATGAAGTTTCATCCTGAGCTCTAATTGGTAAAATGTTGACTGAGGATGCATTTTAACAGTTTAACCTGAGCCTTTTTTTAAGTCTCACTTGCCAGGAGTTTATGAAAGTCATACTGCAATATTTAGAAAAGCTTGCTTCCCTATGATCAAGTGTCTAAAAATTGAGTGCTAGAATCTGGCTATTTTCAATTTTCATAATATCATCAAGCTGAACCTAGGTTTAAAGAGTGGCCAATTAACCTAAAGAAAGATTTTGCATTAATGTCAGGCTTGGCATGCAAAATTTCTAGCTCTAGAACAGGCTGAATGAGCAATTCATAACTGGCTTAAGCAAAGACGGAATTAAGCTTTCTAAGTTGATCAACATCTTGGCAGATGCTAGTTAAATTTCTTTATAAAATTGGGCCAATCAAAAAAATAAAATAAAATTGGAGCTCGAGACAGGACAGGACAATTCCAAAAGAAGCCTGGAAAATAAATAGACAACTCAAATTTTTCAACAAGTTCCTTCTTTAGTAGCTGTTGCCAAGTTTGTGTGAAGTTTTGGTTTATATTTTTGGGAACGTGGCTTTGGCTCATATTTTAAAGTGTTTTAGCTGATATAAATAGACTATGTACCCTCATGCTTACCTAATTTTGATTTAGTTATATATGCTACATGCCTACGTGCACATAAATAGAGGATTACTCAAGTCCTAGATTCTTAGCAAAATAGAGGATTAGCCGCAGGAATCAAATTGCATATAGACCATGGTGGGAAGGGCAGGGCATAGTTTTGGGATCTATATCTAAGTGACATTCCTTGTGCAGGTATTTTTGGATATGGCAGTGTTGGTGGAGGCGCAAGGAGAGATGCTCAACAATATAGAATCTCAGGTAATTGACTTCTTTCCTCATACAATTTATAGATCAATTACTGATGAGAGATGACGATCAATTTTGTGCCTGAAAAGTGCAAATCTTCTTGGAATCATTAGACCTCAATTGTTTTAAATAATTTCCCTTTCTAGGTCTCCAGTGCAGTAGATCATGTGCAGTCAGGGAACACTGCCCTCCAAAAGGCAAAGAAGCTACAAAAGAACTCAAGAAAATGGATGTGCATTGCTATCATAATCCTTCTGATAATAGTTGTAATCATCGTTGTTGGTGTGTTAAAGCCATGGACTAGCAAACAGGGTGCGTAACCATTCTTGTTGTACAATACATTCTTACATGAATTCTGTCAAATGATACGTCCGGCAGCTCCTGTTAAATATCTGAGGTCCATGTATCCAACCACCTACTCTTGCAGTTGTCATCCCATTGCTAGACAGAAAGCCTTCATGTACGAAACGTAATATTCTTTCTTGCTTTTGTACACATTAAATATGATGTCGTCCTCTTATCTTCTCTCTTTCTTTGGTACATCGAAAGTAATCTATTTAATATTTTAAAGGCTTGAATCTCTAATTCTGCTTTGCCATTTAGGTCCTTCAGAATCAAAGAAACATGTTTCTCTATAAACAATAGGACATTGACACCCAAAGGATTCATAACTTTATCGTCGAACAGGTTACTGAATATTGGTCTTCTAATCCCCTTCCTACTTCTAGAAGGGGACATTAAACTAGAATGGTTGCTTGGGACCCGCCTCCTCCTGACTGGCTCAAACTTAATACGGATGGATCCGCTGCTGGAAATCCAGGTACAGCAGGTTTTAGGGGCCTGTTTAGGGACTCTCAAGGACGCTCGATTATTGGATTTATGCGGAATGGTGGCCATACTACAGCACTTGCTGCAGAATTATATGCTATTAGAGATGGCCTTAATATTGCTGTGAGCCATCACTTTCATAATGTTATTGCGGAGACAGATTGTCAGATTGCATATTTACTCTTCTCCGGTGCACCTAACATGTTCCACCCTTGTAGCACTCTATTATGGGTTGCAGGGTCCTTCTACAGATGATTCCTCAAGTCCAAGTGAAGAATGTGCTAAGGGAGGCCAATATGGCTGCTGATGCACTTGCAAGAAAGGGGGTTCTTCTTGCCTCCCATGGTTTGTATATTTTGTATGTATGTCCACCGGAGGTGGACCTTTGTGCACTGCTGATCACGCAAGGGTCTGTTACCCCAGATCCTAAGTTTGAAGTAATAATATTCTCTCTTTCTATTTTAGATAAAAAAAAAAAATTGAATCTCTAGGATTCGTCCAACATTAAAATTTTAAAATTTTATTCATAATTAGTGACTTGGTTAAAGTGTTGGTTAATAAGGTTTTTAAAGGTTTATTTATCTTATTTATTAGTTGCTGATATAATTAAAGATGAATGCTTTAAATTTTTAAAAATAATATTAAAGATTGTAAAAAAAAATAATAAAAAAATAGCCAATAGCCAATGAGATGGGGAGTGCACACTCCGGTAGAGGCTGCACATAACACTTACTATTTAGTTTGTTATTTATCAATGAGTTACTCTTAAACCTCTTATCCGTGGTGGTGGTACAAGTTGAAGAACCCGTTTGCAAAGTCCACAATGTCATAGATCCCATCTAGCCACTAATTTAGGGACTAGGGAAAACATTAAAAGATAAAATTAGCATTGGTAAAAAGTATCTTAATTGATAAGACTTTCAAGATTTTAAGTTAAACCAAAGCTTAAGACAAACGAGAAGGATTTGAAAATGAGGGAGGCTAGCACCTGAACAGTTCGGATAAAAGGATTAATATAACAGATAGGCCTCCTCAGACCATGTCAAAGGTGCACACCCTTGAGGTTACTTACCACACTCCCAGTACCTTATACAAGCAATAAGCTAATTGCTCAAGAAACATTATCTTGCAATCTTTGCATTTATTGTTTAAAAACTCTATCCATCTAATGGTACGAATCATCATAACAAAAGGCCATCTCATTGAAGATATTCTTTTTCCATGAAAATTTACACTCTTCCAAGAGTAAAAGGCCGTTCCAGAGGAACAAAATGAAAATTTCTGAGTACCAGAAAGATTACAGCTCTGATTTTCAGATGGAAGCAACACACCAAAATCCCAGTACTCTATACATTGCACTGCAGGCAGCAACTCGTTGCTGCATCAATCTTTCTGTTGTCTTCATGTTAAAAAAGTTGGGACGTATGAAGGTATACAAATAATCTTCGGTTTGTGTAACTGGAGGATTACTTGAATCTACTGGGAAAAGAATTGACTAATTAATCTAAAAAGACTATACCAGAACTTTGAAATAAAAGAATTGCTTTAGCTTGTTACCCTGTGTTCCCAAAACTTCAGTCCAGAAAAAATTACCGGTAGCTGAATACCTATTGTTGATAAAAAGGGTATGCTGTGTCATCCTCAAATCAAATTCTAGTCATTAGGATCCCATTCATCGTCTTGATCAAGTAGTGCAGTCAAAGTATCTTTGTTGCTGCCTTCATCAGATTCTGGCTGCTGTTCAATCACATCAGTATCATCTTCTGGTAGTTCAGTGTCATTAATTTTAACCCCTTCAGCCCCATCTGACTGCATCCATTTGGGGCACTCATCTTCATCTCCATACAAGAATCTGTCGTCGAATTTTAGTTCATTTGTAACCTTGACAGGTGAAATTCTACACGAGCATTCAGGAAGTGGGTGAGATAGGAACAATCTTGGTTTTGACAACTGGGATTGCCTTATAAGGCCCTCTTCACTCAGGCTTTTGTTGAGATGTTCCCTCACCGAAAGTGTCCAAGAATGTTTGGGATGGTACATATCATCATGAGAAATGTTGAATAGTGAAGCAATAACTTTCCTGTTAGAAAAAAAAAAATAATGCATTGTTAGACACAAACATCAAGATCATAAACTTAGACTAAGAAAAACTTAGCCTTCATCGACTAAGTATATCTAAATCACAGCATGAACAGAAACAGTGAGAAGATTGGTGCAGTTTACACAATGAAGCTGACTGGCATAATAACACAAGACACATCCAGACAGTCTTTAGAAAGACAAGCTAAAACAGCAACATGGTTAAAAGGAGTCTATTCTTTTCTCCTCAGAAATATATTAATATATTTTGTTTTTGGCAAAGTTCAACTGAGCAGGGGCCAATTATCTTATAGAAGAGACAATTGAGAAAAGACACACAGAAAAACTAAAATTTTTGGATCAGTAGAGGTTAGAGGAACCATTATGACTAAGTTGTATGGTTGCAAGGTAGAATTTGAAAAAAAAAAAATATATATATATATATATATATAGAGAGAGAGAGAGAGAGAGAGTTTCTCTCTGATGGTCTGTATAAAAGTTACCGTACTTCAGTGAATCAGTTCCTTCCCAATTAAATGTACCATAGATTGGTTGTCTAAATATCAGGGTAATTAACTGAAGTTGGCAACCAGCTAATAATACATGAAAAAAGAGGAGAGAATTGCCTCTTCTCATATATACAAACAAATAAAATAACTAAACAACCTTTCTCATACAATCTGTTTGACCTTCCAACTTTTCTAAAACAGAGAGAGAAACCATGACCTCCAAAATTCTAAATTAAGCATATGTAACCTTCTCGAGAAAACAGAGATCAAATTTCTGTTTCATATCATACTTAAGCAAGCCAACTTCAATGTATACTCCAAAGAAAAAGAAGCATTTTCCTATTTCCAAGAAGCAAACAACTTTCAATCTATTTAATACTTTTTCTTTCAGATGTCATACTACTTTTTCATTATCATTTTCTTGGTTGATGCATAAGAACCTTTTTTGAGGTCAACATATTATAAAAACACTTGAAACATTCAGGACATCCTAGCAATTAAAATGCCAGGAATGATAATAAAATAACTTAATTATACTTAATGAATCAACATGCAAGGAATATTCATTAAGGGTATTTGAACAATTTCAAAGGCAGTCCCGACATTTTAAATGACAGGACATCAAGATTTTAATTTTTCTTATGTTCAAATTTCAAAATAACCCCTAAATAATTTCTAGGTTCTCTTATGTTTTGGCAGAACATAAATTCAATGTTTGACACACTAGTTTCCCCACTCCTTACCTGTCTGGACGATATGTTCTAGTAGAAGCTGTTTCATACAGCCGATGTCCTATGACCAAGTTTGAGAAATCTGGCCATCCACTACCATCATTGTTAAAACCAGGAAAGAATGCATCTGCTTCCACAGAAACAACATAATCAAGGGCGTCCCAAAGTAACCTGTGTGCTTTCATTCGAAGATCCATAGGCAAAGGGTATGGTTCTGAGTCGTTCTCAGTAATCCAACCATACCAACCTTCTTTTTCATGTTGATAGATGGGTCTGTCAGGAGGAGGAGGAAGAGGTCGAGGACGAGGACCAGCCCTATTCCACTCCTCTTCAAGTTGTTTCTTACTTTTGGCTGGTGGTAGTTGAAAAATATTTAGAGGAAGAGGTGTTTCAGGTCCAACCAAATCAGACAACTCCGCCTTGGTGCACAAGGAAGTTCGATCCACTAAGTTTGCAAACATGGCACGCAGAGGAATCAAAACACGTTGACCACCAAAAGTTTCAGAACCTGCCAGATAGATAATTGTTTTTGGAGGATAACCCATTGCCCGAAGGAGAAGTCCAACCTGCAAAAGTTTCAAAAATAAACAATATGCATAATATGGCAGAAGCACAAGTTAATGTTTCATTGTCATCCAAACACCCTTCATCTCTTACTGTGATTGAATGTACACACAACTGAATCTGAACCCTTGGTTACTGCATTATATTATATTCTAGTTAGGTATATGGTAGCTGATCTGTTTTGAAATCATAGTGTGATAAAACAAGAAGCTAAGATGTTGAGATTTGCCAAACAAATTACAAAATCTTCCCCAGACAAATGTCTTCACAAGCATCATGCACCAGTGAAAAATTACTCTCAGCATACCTCTTCAGGCATGAGGGGGCATGAACCATTTTCTCTGTGCAAGTGTGAGTCAACACTTAGCTCTTCCTTAATAATTCCTTGCTTTATCATCTGTGCCCTTCGATATTGTATCAGTTCAGTATGAACATCCTGCAAAGAAGTACCAAGTTACAATTGACAGTTAGGAAATCATAGAAAACAAGAAAAAAAAAAAAAAAAGAAGACGTTGACTCAGTTTCAGTCTTATTTCCTTCTTTCTTTTTCTTTTTTTTTTTCCTTTCATAAGTTAACTGGAGAAGGAAGCAGAGAAGGCTTAAACAGCTAACCTGAAAAAGTTCTGCACAACCATGATATGCCAAAGTATCTCTTACCAAGCCAGGATGATAAGCCAGAAAAGGTTGCCCCGATGTTCGTAGCCTGTGGCAGACATACTATGGTTGTCAGAGGAATTACACAAAATAGTTACAAATCAAACAATTTCCACATAAGTGGAGTCGCAAAACCATCAACTGCCAGAAGCTATCAGAAATTCTGATTGTGCAATAAGAGACTTCTGTATATTTTGGTTTCTTGCTTTTCACATTAAATTATTTTGAGACAATTTTATACCTCTCCACCATCCGGCGACCAAGGATCTGAATTTCTGGACGAAATTGGAGAGCATGGAAACCAACCCGGCATCTAAGCCTCTGCAACTCAGACATGCTAGGTGGAAGAATTGACTGAAATGGATATGAGATTGCATCAAAATCACTCTAATAATTTGATTATTAAAGATAATAAGCAAGTTAAGGGAAATGGTAGAGGAATTTACAAGAAGATGATAACAATAAAACAATAAAGCTCAACTCAGAGACCTGAACCTAAACCTGGAAATTGGGCATTACTACTAGATTAGGAAAAAAAGTAAAAGAAAAATAAAAATTACAGTGAAAGCAACTAAACCTTTGAGAGCTAGAACAAATATAGACCAGAGAGCTAAACTGTCAATTGAATCTAACAAAGAGAGGCTTAACCAAGATAAACAAGCACATGGTGAATAAAGATAGGAAGAATGTTAACAGAACTTCCAGTGAGATTATTCTCTAAATCCAATAGAAATTTTGACACTTTAAAGGGTATCAAAGACCAGAAAATAAGTTTTGGCAAATAGATTTATAACTAGCATCAGTTAAAGTACAGGATAACCCAGAGAACTAAAATTAATAGTACAGGTAAGGATAGATGTAGAATCACCAATGAGGTGTGACACTTTTCACCTGTATTATAAAACAGCCATGGTTGCTTTTTAACTCTTTCTTACAATATATTAATGGCAGAGTCTGCTTATATTAGAGAACTGAAAATAATGCCCCTGTTTAACTACAAAAACATAAGACATACAATCACAGAAACCATCAAAGACTATATTTTGAAAGAGCAAAACTTAAACACATGAGACATACCATCTTGTAATTTTGTACCCAAATTACTGTTAAAATTTTTTAAGGATATAAATTTCTTCTTTCTTTTATTTGTAGACACTGTCCCTGGAAAAGATAACTTCTTTTTCAGAAAAAGAAGAGCTCATACAGCCATATGAAATTAAATGGTGCCTCTGAGTATGCCTATTTGCCAGTAAGCATATACGTAAGAATCAAGAATATTCAAATGGTATCATATGCTAACAAGTACACTCATTTAAGAGTAAGGAATAACTGAATGAACCATATGTAGATCTTTGTGGTAGAAGATAAACACTTGATCAAGAAACAAGCATTATTTGCTCAAATGGCTTTGTAATTTACGATGATTACAAGACTTCAAACTACCTGCAGGCATCCACCATCAGTGAGAATCAATCCAATAGCTTTGGCTTTCTTTAATTTCGGAAAAACTTCTTTGATATAAAAATTTGGAGAAGCAGAACTTTTGGGTTTAAAAGTTGGCAACTCATTCCTTTTTCTCACAGCCTTCAAATCTTCAGGCAGGCTTTTAACAATGATTACATCATTTTTAAGGGATGCAATGAACTGCTCCTCATCATAAAGATAGGAAAAGCTATTGAATTTATAACTGTAAAACAATGACAAGGTTAAGAAGCCACTAAAAAACAGACAGAAAAGAGGCTTTATAAATTTAGAAAAGGTTAAGAAGCCACTATACCTGATGCCTTTTGATTTAGTAGTTTCTTGAATCTCTGGAATTACAAGGGTAGCATTTAAAAGCCTGGATATGGTGACAAGATCACAGATCTAGAAATTTAACAAAAGTGTTATGCACTCACAACAAAAATTGTATTAGAACAGACATATACATATCTAACCAACCATACCGAAGATCTTATCTTCTCAAATCCACCAGAAACTTTTGCATAGATGAAACCATTGTTCTTCTGATTGGGAACTGTTAGAAAAGAAATGTTTGACTGACTAATCAATTGACTGGAAAAGTCAGAGCTAACAAAAGCACCAAGAAAGAGAAAACCAACAAATGAAGCATTATTTTGATCAACTAAGAAGATAAACTGAAAATAACTTTGCATCTCTGATAAAAAAAATTCACTAAAAATAAACAATCCATTGAAGAGGTAAGTTAAATATATAAAGGTGCATTTGGAAGAACTTTACAAACGGAACAGCAGAGTTTTTTTTTATCCCCAATCTGAGGATAAAAAAATAAAATAAAATAAAATGAGTTCAATTGCCAAAAATAACAGTTCTGGATCATTTTTGTAATTATATGCCTACATGAATTGTGATCATTCTAGTTTCAGCTGAAACCAGCAGGTGTAATCTTTTCAGATGCAATTTTGGAGCAATATAATTATCATGAAATGCTCCAAAATGATATAATTCTTACTGGAAAACTGAAATTCTATTTAAGGCGGACAGTAGAACTGAAAAAGAAAAATTCAATCACAATTTCTTATTTCAATCTACAAGAAATCAGCAAACCTCCCTAACAAAAATAATATGTCAGCTTTAGTTACATATAAACATAAATAGGTAGCTTCAGAAAAACCCTTTACCAGGATAAGTGCTTCTTGGATTGGGATATGGCTTCAAAGACTCCAGAGACTTCACAGGCCCCCATAGCCTCTTAGTTCTAACACCCTGTAGCATAGAGAGAAAGAAAACTAGCTCTTCAAATGAGCAAGCCATGCAAACCCAAATCCCTAAGAAGCAAGCATAAAGATAGAAACTTTTTCAGTACCATGGAAAATCTAATCCAAACTTACCTGTGATCCCACCACCATCACAAAATCCTGGCTTAAAGCAGTCATTGCAGTATACTGCACTAAATCCATACTAGAAAGCTTTGTCATTGAAAGATGCACCACTATTGATCCCAAAGACAAAGTCAACACAAATAATGCAATCCATTTTATCTTAGATTTGAAGGCCATATTCGTTCATCAAAAACAAGTAAACGTTGAAATGAATACCCAATGAACCCTACGTTCCAAATTTCAAGAAACCAAAATCAGATCAAATCCAGAATAAACCCAAAAAAATTTCGAATCCAAAAAATTAAATCAAGTGAAGCAAATGTCATTTCTCTTTAGCAAGACCTGGATGGCACTATGAGCTCCCAGTCCAGAGAACCCAGTACGCTCGAACACATAAAAGGAATCAGGATTTGAATCCAATATTGGACTTCCTTCTTCTTCCTCTAGATTTTAAAACCCAACAGCATATGGGGCGATGGGGAGACTTCAAATCCGGGGATGAAGCAGAAGATGCGAAAGAGAGATAGGCACAGAAGAGAAATTAGTCTGTTTGGAAAGAGAATTTTCCCAAGAAATAAGGGAAAATGTCAGCTGGAGAAGTGCTTGAAGGATAAAAGGGAAAATCTACCAAGAAAAAAATTAAGGATTTTTAACGCGGTTTTGCAGTATACCCTGGAATCAAAAGCTAAATCGAAGAACTTCCTGCTTCTGTTCTGATTAAGCTAACCATGAACAGTAATACAGTTCCTAAGCTGAAATCAATTGTTTGTCTTTGCTAACATTTACTTTTCGCTCTTTATTCCATTAAGTATTATTTTATTTTTATTAATTAATATTTGAGATTATGGGAAATTTTGTTCTTGGTAGATTTTTGCCATTTTAGGATTATTTTTTGATAAAACCATTTTAGGATTTAAAAAACAAGTAAGGCACTAAAGCAGTGTTTTGACAACAAACCTAGAGGTTAGATTGTTTTTATTTTTAGGTTTTGGTTTGATATTTAATTGATTAAATCATCAATTCAATTAGATATCAATAAATATAATGTGGTAAAACACTTGACAATAACCAATGGTTCCACTAGTGCATCGTTTTGCCTCTCAAAACGAGGATGCAAATTCGAGCTTAGGAAATGTTAGAATTTAATTAATATGTTTTTAACATGTAACTTTTAATATA